GGCCTTTGTCCGGCAGTGGCAAGTTACAAGTTCGACAACAGCAAAGCCATGCGAGAGCCAACTGAGATGAAGACTGTTTTTTTTGTCCGCGTGCTGGCTGAACAGCACTCGTCCGAGATTGTTCCCATCGCATCGGCGAGGCGGGGTTCGCCTTCGGAGTCACAAAAGAGAGAATGTTACAATGCGACGCGCAGACGCACACAAAGAGCCCGTGGGTTTTCCCCGTCGCCAACAAAACGACGTAACACCTTGCGATTTCAAATTTAATTAACAAGTGCATCGAACAAAGTGTCCTGCATCATGCACAACACATTGATTAAACCAAGAAAGGGGCTATTCACGAACCAAATTCAGCGGAACATGAGAGATCTCTTGTCCTCGTCGTATAATGTGCACGGTAATGCATTCGGCGACTTCACGCTCCGATGAACAAACATTTGCCAGAGCCCATGTCTATTGATGTTTTTGTACATTCGTTTGAAATTCCATATTCCTATGGCGAGGACCAAAATTCCCAAGACTGACAAATGTGTGTCAATGTGTGCGTGTAGTGTAGCGGGTAGCGCAACGCTGTGCTACGAACCTGGCGACCCGGTTTCGATTCCCGCTCACGGTCAACACCCAATGACGATTATCTGAACCGGTCCTGGGACTCCCCTAGGTCGACTCAGCCTCAAATGAGTACCTGGTGAAATGTGTAAATATCGCTACTGGGGAGACAAAGGCGGCCGGGCGTGGTGTTGGCCACTCACCCCCTCGTGTGCGGTGCCGGCCTTTATAGGTGCTCGCTAACAGCACTTGCCCCTACAGCCTGTTAAAGCTATACGGGGGATCTTTGTCTTTGTATGTATATACACACGCAACCTGGCGCAGTGGGGAGCACAGGTGGTGCATCTGGCAGTCATCTCAGTCAGTCAACCCATAGAACCTGGGTCTTTCCCGTGACCTCCTGCCAAAAACCCTTCGACACTTCACATGATGGCCTCAAATTGTACCTCGCCTGGCACAAGCACCGTGGGGTGGAACAGTGGACCCTGCAACCTGAGTTTGATTCCAGACCACGGTTAACATCCTTGGCGAGTGACATTCAAACCGGTTGGGGGTTCCCTCGATTTATCAACCCGCTCTGACCTACGTGGTAAAATAATGGACAAACAGTCCCCATGATAGATACGGGCCTGGGAAGGCCTTGCATCTAGCAGTGGATTGACAAAATTCCATAAATAAATAACTTTAAATCATTGTGTATGTGTGGCTACTTCTTTAATGCACATTCGTATATCCGAGATACGGCAGTTGTCCGCATGGCGTTTATGTGTCCGTGTGAGTTCCAACCAACGCCATCAGCCACATTAAAGAGGCAATCAACTTTATTTAAATGCGGCGCATGGGGCGTGACCGTGTGGCGGTAACTGCTTAATGAATCATTACGGGCCAAAAAAGAGGAAATATTTACTGCTTACTTTAAATTATGTTTATTATGAGGGAGGGAGGGAGGGAGGGAGGGAGGGAGGGAGGGAGGGAGGGAGGGAGGGAGGGAGGGAGGGAGGGAGGGAGGGAGGGAGGGAGGGAGGGAGGGAGGGAGGGAGGGAGGGAGGGAGGGAGGGAGGGAGGGAGGGAGGGAGGGAGGGAGGGAGGGAGGGAGGGAGGGAGGGAGGGAGGGAGGGAGGGAGGGAGGGAGGGAGGGAGGGAGGGAGGGAGGGAGGGAGGGAGGGAGGGAGGGAGGGAGGGAGGGAGGGAGGGAGGGAGGGAGGGAGGGAGGGAGGGAGGGAGGGAGGGAGGGAGGGAGGGAGGGAGGGAGGGAGGGAGGGAGGGAGGGAGGGAGGGAGGGAGGGAGGGAGGGAGGGAGGGAGGGAGGGAGGGAGGGAGGGAGGGAGGGAGGGAGGGAGGGAGGGAGGGAGGGAGGGAGGGAGGGAGGGAGGGAGGGAGGGAGGGAGGGAGGGAGGGAGCAATGTATGGGTGGTAGCTGCTATAAAATGTCACGACTGTAATGACCCTCCCAGTGCGTTCAAATGCATCCGTCCCGTTGAGTCCAGCTCAGTGCCAGGCGACATGCACGTGTCACTCTTCCAATTGTGTTATTCAAATGCCACACACTACAATACAACACAACCAGGTCGAGCGGTGGCGCAGCGGTTAGCACACTGCGCTCTGAAACCTTGGTCACCCGAGTTCGATTCCCGGTCACAGATCTGAACTTGGTTTTGAGCTCGCTCCCTCACTAATCCGTATTGACCAGCGTGGTGAAGTATGGTCAAGCATTCCACATGGCTGATGACCACGGTGAATAGTCATTCCTTATCGACACACCACTGTGTTATATCGCCAATTAAAATGTGTGGCAGCCAAGTAATGGAACGTGTCAAGAAAAATCTCATACCTAGGAGATGGAGCGATGAAAACAATTCGTCTGCAGGCCCTCGGTGGATAATAATTATTACATCACAGGGTTCCTTGGGGATGGCCTTCATCCAACAGGGGATTGATCATGGCTGATGATGATGATGATAATGACGCATAATTGTAAGGCAATTCCCGTAGACACTTTTTGAACACCAACCCAAACTGGCTGTACACCAACAACAACAATAAAAATCCAAAGAAGCTCTCAATCGGATGACACAGACATCAAAACCTTCCGCGAATTTCTATTCGCTACGTTCCTGGTAAGCGACTTAGATAATATAGCGCTTTATTTTGTGTGTGCGTGTACGCAATCACTCGGGCGCTCCCCTTCAACTCCAAACACAACGGCCTTCCCCTAGGTCGACTCAGCCCAAAATGAGATCGCGAAACAACAGCATTGTTTGACGACGATGGCACAGCGTGTGTGCTGTAGATGCGCATTCCACATAGGTGCTTGCTTACGGCACATTTTCCCAACAGTCTATCTGCACGTGTGTGTTTGCACGTGCCTATTTGCTGCAGTGTGCACGTTATGTATGTAGTACATACGTGACTATACGTACATCGTCTACATACTTACATTGTGTACATGCATTTTCGTGGAAAGCCGAAGAGCGTAGACGTGGAACCAGCCCACTCACCCGCTCCTGAATTAGCAGTTACAATGAGTCTCAGGATAGAGCCTGCCGATGCAACCTGCATTAATGATAATTAAAGCTATTGTGGATGCACTCATAAGTTAAGGTCTCCCCACGCCACGTCGGTCATAGAGTGTTATTGTTTTTATTTTCACCATACTTCACCACGATGGTCAATACGGAATTTGGCAGGGAATCGGACAGATTCTTATATCACTCGCCACGGTCGCGAATCAAACTCTTGTGGTCAGGTTTGTAGCGCAGCGCGCTAGCCACTATACCACCGCAACAACGCTACATACATCTCACGCTACGTGTTGATGTTTCTCTGGGTGCATATATCCGTGTGACTCTTTTACAACTGAACATTGTCTGCATGTGGATTTCCTGTGCGCGCGCGAACGAGCGCGCGCGCGCGTGTGTGTGTCCGTGTGGCATAACGCTTGAACACAGTGGACAGCGTGAGCTTATAATTCACGGACGCACCGAGTACACTCAACTACCACGTGCATACACAGTACAACACATACATACGATAGTTGTATCTTAATATCAGTGGTAGAACGTATTTATCCTGGAAAGCCTCACCCGAGTCTCAGTATTCATTTGCAGGAGGAGTATGCGCTGGGCTGTTTTATTTTGTTTTGTAATTCAATCAATAAGCGTTTGGCCTCGTGGGAGGAGAAAACGCGCTTTAAACGAGGGGGTACCGCTCAAAACTCCGCACAGATGGATTCAAGACTCCGTGGCTGTGCTGCCCTCTCCCCTAATGACCACCTTTTTGCAGTAGCATATCATTATACGTACATTCTGCCGGATGTGCTGGTCTGGGCGCACACACAATCTACGTACGTACACCACACGCTTGCACATGCGTTGCAGGTGCCTCGGATGATAGATCCACGCGCGCTCAAGATACGTACACCGCATTAAGGACGTAAATAACTTACGCACATACAATAAACGTGATTTAATGCACCGTTCCATCACTTCCAATTTGCGCGCATCGGTGGTAGTTCACTTTAATTGAACTGCACATAACGGGGCATAGCGGCACAGCCCATTTTGCCTATTGACGGCCGCAGTTAAAAAAAGAAAAAGGCAAGCAGCTGAAAAGAAGCAGACGGGAACAAATGTTGTAATCAAAGCCCGGCCGTGTGCATCCACCACGGTAGCACGGCTCCGCCATACAGGGCCGGCGATGTGACCATGTCGCTCCGAATTACACAACGCACGTGCGGATGAAATTGTCCTTTCAACATCTCCCCCCCCCCCTCTCCTCCCATCTTCCCAGGTCAGGGTCGAGGAGAGGTATTTATTTTATTAAGAACAAAGACGCTCGTTTGATCCACACACACGAGCATCGTATTCCTGCGGGGACGATTAAGTCAGTTCGTGTGTAGGTGCTGCGTGGATTATTGCATCGCGAGGATCGTGAGAGGTGGTGGTGGAGATAAGGCATTCATCCAGCGGTGGATTGACCATCGCCTACTGACGATCATGACCCCAGTTAACATTTCCCAACAGCTGTTCTCGCCTCGCCTTTGATGTGCTTGGTCTCAGTCCCTTAGCGATAGAGGTCGGTAGGTAACTGGGTAGGTAACCAGGGTACGGTGTTTCTCATCCCTCGACCAGGTTAGAGCCCACTGAACTGTATTCAACAGCCGAGATTTTTTTTTTGAGCCCCGAGTTGGAATGTCATTGCTCGAAATGCAGGAGGGCTAGCAGCTTACGTGCTTGGTTAGTACCAGTTCACAACATTAACACTTCCGTTTCACTCGGTACAATGCCGCGTGTAATTGCGTGAAAGCGCATTTGCGCATAAACGCTCCGCGTGTTTGAAAACAAAAATACGTTGGATGCAATCAAACACGCACACACACACAGATCAGCGAAGGTTGGCTGTGACAGAGTGTGCGTGTTGAGCGAGTGAGTGGGTGTTCGGGGCACACTTACCTATTCTCAGAACGTGCGGCATAGCCACGGACAGCCCGCTGCAGAACAGCCACACCAACACTCGCAGCCCGGAATTGAACCGTATCCGACGGGCTGGGAAGGGCCGGCGGCTCATCCTGAGCGGTTTCTTGTAGCCAGTGCTGCTGCTGATGATGTTGATGATTATTATTAGTATTACTACAAGGGGGAGGGGGGTTCAAGATACCACAGTTGGGGGACTTTGCGGCTGTAGATGATGCACGGCTGGTGCAAGTGCTGCTGGTGGTGGTGGTGATGGGGTAAGGCGAGTCATTCACGCCCAAACAACACTGCTACGCTCAAGGCGGTGTCCAAGCGCAGCCATGTAGTAGTAGTAGTAGTCGTCGTGGTGGTTGTGGTTGTGTGGCGTTCAGGACGAAGGAAGATGATGATGATGAGGAGGAGGAGGAGGAGGAGGAGGATGATGAGGAGGGAGCGTGCACGGGAAGCCTCCCAAGTCGTTAGAAGCTCGCAGCCAGCGGTCCGGCAAGGGCGGAGGAATTGGATGAGGACGAGACTCGGGGACGAAGAAGAGGAGGAGAGGAGGAGGATGAGGATGAGGAGGATGAAGAGGCGACGTGTGGGTATCTCTGCGGAGCCGCGGGCGTGAAGAGCAGCCGCTGAATGGTGGCGCTTTTGTCATCCGTGCGCTCCCCTCGCGGCGACGCCTGCGCTCCTGGGTGCATGGTGGAGTGAGGAGTGGCGCGGATTCGTTCCGCTCGCTCTCTCGCTCGGCTCTCTCGCTCCCTCTCTCGCATTCCCTCCTCTCCTAACCACCCCTTCACTCACCCCCCCCCCCCACCACCACGCTCTCTCCCCGTCAACCACCACCGCCACCGCACACACGCGCGCTGATGCAGACCAGCGCTTTTGCAGAAAGCTGCAAAGCGCTGGTCTTTAGGAGAGCCCTTGAAGATTTATGCGTTGCTTGCTTGGCACACACACGAAGACAAAGACCACCCCCCCCCCCCCGGTTAGCCGTATAGACCTCGGGGGCTAAGTGCTGTTAGCGAGCTACTAAAGACGCCACAGGCATGCGAGGGGATGGTGTGTGTGTGCGGCTAGCACCACGCCCGGACGCCTTTGTCTCCCCGGCGACGATGCCGAGTACACAACGCGCACACGCGCGCGCGCTACACCAGGTCGTCGTTTAGAGGCCGCGTTGACCTAATCATATGTTGGGATACAAGTTGCCACTGGTGTTGGCAACGAGCGAGAATGGAACCTCGATTGACGGGTTTGTTGCGCAGTGGTCTCACCGCGACACCGCCGCTTTCACCCAAAGGCAAAGACCCCCCATATAGCCTTGAGCAGGCTGTTTGGGCAAGTGCTGTTCGCGAGTACCTATTAATGGTACACGACGGGGGTAGGTGGGCAGCACCACGCCGGGCCGCCTTTGTCTCCCCATTGCTGGTGTTTACACACCGCACTCGGTACTTATTTGAGGCTGAGTTGATCTGGAGGTGGCCCAGAAACCCGTGCAGGCTTTCATCACTGTTGTTGCTTTTTAGCGCTCCTTTCCACGTCACACACACGTGTGTGACGTGTGTGTGTATTGTAACATTATACTACGTGTATATATTGCATGTAGCATTATCGTGTACGTCGTTGTGTGTATGTAACATTATAGCAGCGAACAACACAACTGGAACCTCAAGTGATGACTGTGCTTGCGCGGAAAAAAATTAACTTCACGGAGTCTGACGATGAATCAATGCGTAAAAATAGCCCAATTTGAAACAGGCCACGAAAAGCCGACAACAATAGCCCGAGCCGGGAACAAATGCATCACTGGACTTGACTATTTATGTAACCGGCAAATTAAGGGAGGGGGTGTGTGCATGCTACTCGTATAATATATCAGCAAAGTGATTGATGTTCCTTATTCAGACGGTTAAGAAAGGCGTCCAACCGCGTTACCTCTTTGGAAAGACAAGCCCCTGGTAATTTATACTTAAGTCATGAATCATCCATTGTTATTGTGTATTTTGTCGCCTCTCTCTCTATTTTCTCCTGCCTCGTTTTAACGGCACCGGGACAGTTGAATAATACATTCTCATTTTGAATGACATCACGGGGCAGTTCTTGAATGACATCACGTGGCAACTCTTGAATGACATCACGGGGCAGTTCTTGAATGACATCACGTGGCAATTCTTGAATGACATCACGGGGCAACTCTTGAATGACATCACGGGGCAACTCTTGAATGTCATCACGGGGCAACTCTTGAATGACATCACGGGGCAACTCTTTAATGACATCACGGGGCAACTCTTGAATGTCATCACGGGGCAACTTTTGAATGTCATCACGGGGCAACTCTTGAATGTCATCACGGGGCAACTCTTGAATGTCATCACGGGGCAACTCTTGAATGTCATCACGGGGCAACTCAACTCTTTAATGACATCACGGGGCAACTCTTGAATGTCATCACGGGGCAACTCTTGAATGTCATCACGGGGCAACTCTTGAATGACATCACGGGGCAACTCTTGAATGACATCACGGGGCAACTCTTTAATGACATCACGGGGCAACTCTTGAATGTCATCACGGGACAACTCTTGAATGACATCACGGGGCAACTCTTGAATGTCATCACGGGGCAACTCAACTCTTTAATGACATCACGGGGCAACTCTTGAATGTCATCACGGGGCAACTCTTGAATGTCATCACGGGGCAACTCTTGAATGACATCACGGGGCAACTCTTGAATGTCATCACGGGGCAACTCTTGAATGACATCACGGGGCAACTCTTGAATGTCATCACGGGGCAGCTCTTGAATGTCATCACGGGGCAACTCTTGAATGTCATCACGGGGCAACTCTTGAATGTCCACTTGGCGAGAAAGAGAGAGTGGGAGAGGTGGCCGTGCTGTGTACTGTCACAGTGCCAGATCCCTGGCATCGAATCGCCAAACTATGGCAACGTTGAAACAAAGTACAGTCTGTTTGCACGCTCAATACACGGTGTGCTTTTCAATCGCGTCGACAAACGTATTCCCTTAAATATCATGACGTATAAAGCAGACGATTATACCCTTCAGATATCCGTCTCTATTTCTTTCTTTCTATGGATGCATAAATACGTTAAGAGCGCTGCTTACACAAAAGCCACCAATCACACTCACTGGCTTCGAGGGCGTGTTTTCTTTCAGCATCGCTGCCTCCATTCGGGCAAAACAAAACGGTGTCTCATCAAGCAGTCCAGGCTCCCTTCAACCCAGTGGTGGTGACTTGCCGATCTTCCCCGGCGATGAACCCTATCACTACGACACATTGGGGGGGGGGGGGGGGGGGGGGGTCTCCAGTTCGAAGGCAAATCATCTCGTCGTACAAAATTGTTATGAGTGACATTGAGAAGAATTGCGTTGCGATTTGGCGGACGACCATTCGAGGAGATGCTGGATGGCGATTCTGTTGATTGATAATGAGGACGACTTCGTCATATTTCCGGAAGAGAAATCAATGTTGAGTCCAATTAGGAGTGTATTTGATTTGTTACACGGATGATGACGCTCCGGTTTATCCAGTTTCTCGGCTATTTTACACGGGAGATTCGTGGTGCGTGAACACAGCAGCTGCAGCAACAACAAAATAGAAAAATAACAAGATTTCTGATTTGTAGTCTGATCAGTTGTTGGATGTAAGACTGCCTATGAATATATACAGTTTAGCATGCTTGTGCCGCTGGCATAAAAACATTTTAATTGTTGATTCTTTAAGTCAATATTTCATCTATTCTCATTATTCATGTACATTGAATGAAAGTTGAATTAAGACCAAGCATAATTGACAAATGTTCACATTGCACGTTTAATCTTTAGAAAAGTACTAAACTCGTTCCAAACGATAACGAGAGCATGCATTACTGTTAACGGCAGTCGGTTTGAACATAATTTTGTTAAAATGAATATAATAACCCTATGTGTGCTGACCTTTGGGCCACCCTGTGTACGTGCATACCCAGAAAACATGGACAACGTTGAGCCAACGTTGCCCGTGTGTGCGGAAGCGTTGGACGAACGTTGACTCAAAGTTCCAAGTTGACTGGTACGTGCGCTCCTTTGTAAAGTGTCCACCGTCCCCACCACACCACACCACCACCACACCGATAAGCACGGTTGGCTATGTACGGTGCGAAAGAAGTTCAACAAACGTGCGTCCAGCAGGTGCCGTTTTGCTCTGTGCAAGGTACCGATTGCCGTGGGGATTCCCCAAGGTTTTAATGACGACCCCCCCACATTGAGTTACGGGCAGCTGTAATCAAATCACGGAGGTCTAACTGGCCAACAAGATTACGATTGATTGATCGATGCGGATTGAGTGATGGCTTCGCTGATTATCGATGGCGCGCAGGTTTCTCTGCACGGTGAGCATTGTGATTGTGACGTATTGATTATAATCACCATCATTATCATCATCCGGATCGTTATCATTTATTCTTTACACCTTGCCTCCAGTGCAAGGGGACATCTCGAGAGGCCCAAAACAAATGAGGATTTTTGGGGTTTCATTTCGTGGTGTCATGGGTCGGCGCATTGGACTTGCAATCCATGGTTGTCGGTTAGATTCTATCTCCCGGCGAGGCAATGGAAACCTCGGGTACGTTTATTATGACGCCCCTCCCTCCCGCAGGCCGTCCACCTTGCAAGCCAGTATGGTTACGCCACGGTCAAATCTGGAAGTCGCGTGTGGTGGGGTAAAGTGTGGGTGCTCCTACCCCTTACAAGACGTCTGGCAAGCGTGGACGACTCGGCCAATTCCCACTGTAGGGATGCTTTCTTACTTTCTTGAGCAGTGGTTATTAACGTGGGGTGCGTGCAATCCCTGGGGGGTGCACGCTGCACTTCCTGGGGGTGCGAGATGCCCTTTCTGGAGGTGCGAGACATGGCCAGATTTTTGTCAGATGGTAAACAATCGAAGAAAACAATGAAGCACAACTACTTTGTTACATCAAACCTATGTCTTTATTAACATTGTACATGTTGTTACGAGTAAGAACCGAAGGTGTGCACGCTGCATTAAAGGTTAAGATCCATTGGTCTAGAGCCTCCTCTTGAGTGGAGGCTCTTCTGCCAGCAGTGACGATGAGTTAGTAACTGGTAGCGCTGCACCTTTAACCCTTTGTCTTTACTCGACAAGGAAGTGATTGCTCACCCAAATGTAATGTCCAAACGATAGAGAATAGAACATATACACAACAGACCACAATGATTTTTATTTTGTTTGCTTTTCAACATTCCAGTTTGCTGAAGTGGGTGGGTGGGTGCCTCCTCCCCCCACCCCTGCGCTATCCAGCGTGCTGATGTACGGACTAACAACCCCGCATGGCTGCGTTTGGTAGGATGCCTTCATACAGCAGTGGATTTGTGCAGGAGTCGGTGGTGGCTACGCACGTGGCATTGTAATCCATCTCGCTGACTTGCTGCTCTCTTTTGATGACAGAGAGCAGCCGTCTTTAGAAGAGAGCAGCAAGTCAGAGATGGAGGAAGACGTTGTAGATCCAGATGACCATTTCAGAGGTAGAGCTGAGGAGAGAAACCCATACTACCCCAAGCAAAAAGACCTCAACGACTTGATCAGACATATTGATCTCACCAAGTCCAATGCCGAGCTACGTCTAGGCTCAAGCATTGGAACTTGTTGGATGAAAGTGTGCAAGTCGCAGATCAGAGGAAGTGTCACCAACCTTTTTGCAGCTTCTTCACCCGTCAAGATGGGCTATGCTTCTGCCACAATGTGACCAGTCT